AAATATCAAAGTAGAAGGAAATTGTCTAAGCCAAGCTTGTTTAAATGAGGAGCTGATCATAGGATCATAGGCCTAGAACTGTTTAAGGACTTTTCATGTTATAGATGAGGAAATTTGAAATCTGAGGAAGTTGTGATTTGCCTAAGATCATACAGATAGTAACCACTTAATCTGAGACCAAGATTAGTCATTGCAATTAAAGTTCATATTTTTTAGACCATATCTTTTTTAAAATATTGAATCACATCTTTTCATATGAACTTACATTTCCTAATTTATTCCTCACCCTGCCCCCCCCCTTCTGAGGGCATCTCTCATAACAAAGAGGAAGAAAAAATAGTCCAGGAAACCTAAACAACATATTGAAAAAAACTTATATTACATACAATGTTGCATACCAATAGTCCCCTATCTCTGCAAAGCCACTGGGAGAAGTGCTTTTTCATATATCTTCTTGGAGCCAACTTTGTTATAACTGTACAGCATTCAATGTTATTTTTTTTTGTTGTTGTTCTTTCCATTTACATTGTTGTCATGTATGTTGTTTTCCTGGTTCTATTTCACTTTTCGTCAATTCATAAAAGTATTCCTGTGCACCTCTGTATTCATCTTGTTTATTTCTCACAGCACAGTTAATATTCCATTACATTCATGTACCACAATATGTTTAGCCACTCTCCAAGTGAAAGTATCCACTTTCCCCCCTACGTTTTGGTATCATAAAAAATGATGCTACAAGTATTTTGGTGTACATGGAGCCTTTTTTTTTTTATCATTGTCCTCCTTGGGGTATGTGCCTATCAGTAGACCTTCTGGGTCAAAGGGTAGACAGACATTTTAGTCACTTTCTTTGAATAATTTCAGATTGCTTTTTCCCTGTCAAATGTTTTCTTTCTTATCCTATTAACCACATATTTTAATAAAAAATACATTTGACTGCTTCATCTTTACATTACAGTCATTTCTAGAAATTTCTTTTAGCCTCCCCACACCAAACCATTCATTTTAACAAAGAAAACTAATTAAGCAAAAACACCCAATACAATGAGTGCATCTAACCATACATTCAGTATTCTGGCCAGAAATTTGCCACTTCTTTACCATGGGGAAGAAAGTATGTGTTTTATCATCTGTTCTCCAGGACCATCATTAAAAGAAAAAATACTAAGTGATTACTTCCTTCCATTGTTGTAGTCATTGTATATCTTATTCTTTTGGCTCTGCTTGTTTCATGCTTCAGTTTATACAAATCTTCCCATGTCATTTCTTAAGTAATAATATTCCCTCAACCTCAAATACTAGTGTTTTGGGCTTCCCCCCCCCCCAACCATTCCCTAATCAATAAGTATTTACCACTTCCCATTCTTTGCTACCACAGTGCTACTGTACTATTTTGGAATATATTAGATTTCTATTTCCATGTTTTATCATCTTTGGTTTATTTAGTAGTGAAATGCTAGCACAAAAGGTTTGGACAGTTTAGTCACTTGTCTTTCATCATTTCAAATAGTTTTCCAGAATAGCTCGACCAGTTCTGAGCTCCACAAATAGTATGTTAGTGTTTTGTTTTTGTAGTAGTAAAAAATTGCAAACAAAAGGGGTGCCAATTGATTGGAGTATGGCTAAACAAATTTTGGTACATGAATGTGATGGAATATTACTATGCTGTAAGAAAGACGAATACAGAGAAGCATGGGAAGACTTATATGAACTAATACAAAATAAAGTAAGCAGACCCAGAAAAATAATATTCACAATGACTACAACAATGTAAGTGGAAAGGATGACAATAAAAGACTGAATGCTGCAATATTATAATGACCAAACTTGGACCTCAAGAGGACATATAATAAGGAACCTTTCTGGTTTCTTTGCAGAGATAGAGGGCTCAGTTTGGAACACAGCATATAATATCAGGCTGTGCTGTTAGCTAATTTTAATGATTCTTTTTTCTTCATAAGGGATTTTGTCTTTGAGGAGTAAAAAGGATATATTATGAAATGTGGATAATGTAAAAATGAAATGTCAAGAAAATGTATTTTTAAAAGTGTATTTGGTGTGCCTATGTTCCCCTTGCCTCTCCAACAACATTAACTGTTACTATTTTGTCATCTCTGTCATTCTGCGGAGTAATAAAATGAAATCTCAGAGTTGTTTCAATTTGTATCTATTAGTGATATGAATTTTTTAAAATGATCATTTATAAGTTTCAGTTCTTTAGAAACTTATATCTTTTGAGCACTTATCTATTGAGGTATGGCTCTTGAAATTATATATCAGTTTGCTACATATCTTGGATATCAGACTTTTGAGTGATATTTGATGCAAATATTTTCCCTCTCAATAGTTTTTGTTTTCATCTTTGTTTACTGATACATGCAAAAGCCTTTTAATTTTAGGCAATCAAGGTAGAACATTTGACCTTTTATGACCTCTTTCCTATTTGCTTATAAATTCTTCCCCTAACTATACCTCCTCTTGCTAATTTTTAAATGATGTGAGCTCTATTCAGTTCAAATATCCATTTTCAGCTTACTGATAATAAGATGTTGGTTTGAATCTAATTTATTCTCATCTGCTTTCCAGTTTTCCCAGTAACTCTTGTCAAAATGGAAGCCCTTCCCCCATTAATATTCTTAAATTTATAAAAAACTAGGCTACTATTTTGTATTGTTACTGTTCCTTGCCATACCACTCCACCAATTTTATTTTTATTATTTTTTCTGAGTACCCAGTTTTTGGTAACAGGTGCTTTATAAGAAAGAGATCTGGAAATACTTCTGTCCCCTTTATTTGTACTTTTTCTTATTTGAGATTCTAGCCCTTTCCCCCTCTCTAAATGTCATTTTTTTACATCTAACGTTTACATCATTTTACTGAGGAAAAGATGTATCTCATCTTCCTAGTCATAGGACCATAGATCTAGACAGGACCCATAGATCTAGACAGGACCCATAGATCTAGACAGGACCCGAGAGGCCCTCTAATCCAACTCCCTCATTTTACAGATGAGGAAACTAAGGTCCAAGGAGTAACTTGCCCAAGGTCACAAAGGTTGCTGCATCATAAATGGGAGCTGGTTTGACCTCAGGTCTTGATTGCAGTCAGTGCTTTATGCCATTACTATACTGTCTCCCTTAAGAGTTTTGTCTAGTTCTATAAAGGACCCCTCCTTGGTTGTTTCTTATTCTGTCTAAATTTAGGTGTAATTTTTTATTATATTGGCAGAGCCCTCCAATTATTTGCCTTCATTTACTTCTCTAAAGAGTATTTCTGGACTGTCTTGGAAGATTAATTTCCAGATGCTTTTTACATTTCATATTAATTTTGAAGGAAATTTCTCATTTCTTTCTAGGTTGTTAGTACTTAGAAATGCTGATTTCTATCAATTTACTTTGTATTGTGTTACCTTATTGAATTTATTGTCTTATTTTCTTTACCGATTTCCTGGTACCTATCTTTTCAGGTCTTCTATAGAGGTTCTCCTTAACAGGTATGATTTTCAGATATTATATCACTGTATTTCTGTTGTCTCCCATTCATGACATTGTACCAGTCATCTACCTTTTCTGATTATCATATATTATTAACACTGGGGTAAAATGTCACAGCCTATTTGGGCTGAAGTGTCACTATTTGGTTTTTGGGTTATCTGTCATTGGGGAGGCAGGGCAGTGTGGTACCTAACAGAATGCTGAACTTGGGACTGAGGAGGCCGGGGTTTGAATCCTATCTCTGACATGTGTTAGCTGTGTACTACATAGGCAAGTAAGTGACTTACTGTCTCAGTTTCTACAGTTCTAAAAACAGTATGATACTTGCACTTACCTAATAAGAGTTATGAGGATCAAAGATGTTTGTAAACCACATAAGCATTAAGCTATCATTCTATTAATTCATAGCCACATATATCAATAAAACATGATTTTAAAGAAATGGGCTTTTGCAATAACTAGTAAGTGGCATCTTTGAAAACATTTATGCAGTTTTCAGACTTTTTTTTTTTTGCTAGGCAATGAGGTTAAGTGACTTGCTCAGGGTCACACAGCTAGTAAGTGTTACATCTGAGGCCGAATTTGAACTCAGGTCCTCCTGAATCCAGGGTCGGTGCTCTATCCACTGTGCCACCTCGCTGCCCCCACACACGTTTTTCTTTACTGTGGTCAGAAACATAGTGGATGCCAGACTTTTAAAAGAATTTTTGTTAATGAAGGGGAAAGTATACTACAACTAACAGTTAATATGAAAGCCAGAAGTCCTTCCTTGCTTTAATGCTTTAATGAACAAATGGTAATTTCAGCCATTTCCACATCTGTAAAATGAGCCCAATATAAATGCGTACAAATAGTTACAGTATGTTACAGCTTTCCTTTTTTTTTTTAATCCACCGTACATCTGAGAGGCAGTGTGGCAGAGTAGATTCTGAATTGGCCTTAAGAGTCAGGAAGGACTTAGTTCAAGTTCCTCCTCTGAAACATAGTTTTGTGACCCTGGGGAGCACACTTAACCTCTCAGTGCCTCAAGCAAATCAGAGACTATACACTGCAGAGCAGGTGCTGATTTGCATTGGTAGAGAGAATTCCACACACACATGAAATACACAGATAAAATCATAAATCTAGTAAAAAGAAAAAAAAAGTATTTATCTTTCCATTGAGTCAGATGGAACTCTTAAAAGTCTCAAGATCTGGACTGGAATCTCTGTTCATTTACTGGTTGTGTAACTTTGTGTCTTGGGCCTCAGTTTCTCCATTTGTAAAAGGAGGAGGAAGGGTACATCTAGTTGAATAAAAATGACACTGAACGGCATTTTCCCCCTCAGAATTATATTTACAGCGTATATTGATACAGATTGCTGATATCTTTTGAGGATCTACTTCTGCGCTGTCCAGAAAGTAACATTTTTATAGGCAAGGTCGATGCTGGATTGAAAGAGGGTAGTCAGTATACCTTCACAATTTTTTTTAAGGTTAAATGGAAATATAAAACTGCAATTTAGATTGCTGTTGTTAAAACATTTATTTACTAATCAGAGAAGTGTCATATTTATATATTTCATGCAAAACATGCTCTAAAAAGTTACATGAAAACTTGACTTTTATAAATCCAATAGAAAAAATTATAATGGATCTTAATGACTTACTTCAGACAAAAAGTTAACATATCATGAGGATACTACAGAAAGGATGAAAATTTGAAGCTTAAAGTCTAGTATCAAATAACTTATCTACACAATTCTAGATATTAATATGAACCACAGAGATTCATTAATTTCTATCACTTTTATAAGCATGAAGAAATGTTCCATTTTTTAGAACTATTCTATACCATGCATCTTAAGTTATCATGGACTAAAAAGAAATAAGTAGGAAGTAAACAAGCCTAAGGATATGATACATTGTTAGATATTTAATGGCTGGTCACTCTACAAACTCTTGATTTCAGATCCTGTGATCCACCTTGTTCTTCAAATTACTGTGGATCATTTTTCACCTGTCTGCAGAGATTTCTTCTCATTAGCAGCCTTCTGCTTTTGTTGCATGATTTCAGAATCCCTATGAAAAACAAAAACATGAGCTGCTATAACAAAGTAAGCTTATTTTTCACAGATATCCTGTTTCTCTTATGCATAAAAAGGCATTTGAAGTATCAGAAAAACAAGTACTAAAACAATTACATTTCCCCATTTCCCTCCTTTGCTTTTCTTCTTTAGTAAAGAATAGATGGGAGCAACTGGAAATATGCTGCTTTGCTGATGCAGCTATATTTCTTATTGGATTTTGTTGTGCTAAAATGTCCTGAGAAAGTTGTCTCCTTTCTAGATTTCACTCTTAGAAAATGAATCTCATAATTCGTCAACGGACAGACCAGGAAATGGGCCTAGGTTCTTAAAAAGATATCAGAGTTAAATTTGTTAATTCAAAAATCTTTTAGAAGCATATACTTTATTTTTTTCAAGTTGATCTTAATATATACATACATTAATATATTCATGTCCACAAAGGAATCCAATAAGATGGGTGACCAACTTATTCCCCAAATGCAAAAACAAGCCAAGGGTATAATGACTAGGGGGTAGCTGAGCAAGTGGTAATACAAGACATGAAGGTGAAGCTGAGTGAACAATGTTAAGCAGAATATATTATTGACAGCATCCATATAAACATCAAATAGCAAGTAGTGAGATCCAGACACAGAAGAATGAGAGTTCAGAAGGAGACAATGAAATCAACAAGCCATCACTGTAATTTTCACTAAAGTTAATGCATTTTCTAACCAGCTATAAATGACAGTTTATAGTTTCATGCAAGCTTTTTTTTTTTAAAAAAAATTACTTATTTTAGTTTTCAACATTCACTTCCATAAGATTTTGAGTTCCAAATTTTCTCCCCATCTATCCCCTCCCCCAACCCGAAGATAGAGTGTAAATTGATATGAGCTCAACATATACATTCATATTAAACCTATTTTCAACATTAGTCATGTTGTAAAGAAGAATTGGAATCAATGGGAGAAACCACAAGAAAAAAGAAAACAAAACAAAAAAAAGAGAATAAATAATATGCTTCGATCTGCATTAAGAATTCATAGTTCTTTTTCTGGATGTGGGCATATTTTCCATCATGAATCTTTTGGAGTTGTCTTAGATCTTTGCATTGCTAAGAAGAGATAAGTCTATCACACAATGTGGCTGTTACTGTGTACAACGTTCTCCTGGTTCTGTTCATTTCACTCAGCATCAGTCCATACAAGTCTTTCCAGGTTTTTCTGAAGTCCACTTGCTCATCATTTCTTATAGCACAATAGTATTCCATTACATTTGTATACTACAATTTGTTTAGCCATTCCCTGATGGGCATCCCTGCGACTTCCAGTTCTTTGCCACCGCAAAAAGAGCTGCTATAAATATTTTTTGTACCTGTGAGTCCTTTTCCCATTTGTATGATCTCTTTGGGACACAGACCTATAAATGGCATTTCTGGGTCAAAGGGTATACATAGTTCCAAACTGCTCTCCAGAATGGTTGGGATCAGTTCACAACTCCACTAATAATGCATTAGTGTTTCAGTTTTCCCACATCTTCTCCAACATTTATCATTTTCTTTTTTTTGTCATGTTAGCCAATCTGATACGTGTGATGTGGTACCTCAAAGTTGTTTTGATTTGCATTTTCTAATACTGAATAGTGATTTACAGCATTTTTTCACATGATTAGTTTTAATTTTTTCTTCTGAAAACCGCCTATTCATATCCTTTGACCATTCATCAGTTGGAGAATGACTTGTACTCTTATAAATTTGACTAAGTTCTCTACATATTTTAGAAATGAGGCCTTTATCAGAGACACTGGTTGTAAAAATTCTGTTTTCTGCTTTCCTCCTAATCTTGGTTGCACTGGCTTTGTTTGTGCAAAAACTTTTCAATTTAATATAATCCAAATTATCCATTTTGTATTTCATAATGTTCTATGCAAGCTCTTTTTTTATTTTTGAATCTTTTCGTAGACTGTAAGCTCCCTATGTATGGACAGGCACTGTTTCCCTTTGTTTTCCCAATATACCTAGCTTATTAACTTGCTGATTTTATGTAAGTGCTTACTTCCATTTATCTTCACAGAGCCTGCACTAATGAGAAACTTGGCATTAGTAATCTTTAATAGTAATGTCATACAAATGAAATGTCACATGATAATGTTAAAGATTTTACTGTCTAAACCAATGGCTCCATGATGCAAATACAAGATGTAGTCAACATTACACAATCTGAAATTTTTGAATTTGATCTTCATTGATCATCAAGTTCAACCCATACCCCCAAAAGAACTGCTTACCTGACAAAGTGAATCTGCCTTAAGATCTCCAAAGAGGATAAACCCACTTACCTTCTACTAATTGTTAGGAAATCTCTCCAGACCACCTTAATACTAATTCTTGGGTCACTCCTTCTCTACTCATTACTTAGAGTCAGATAAGTTTATTAAAAAATATTTTAAAACAAATCCATGTCATTTGAATTTGAATACAGTTCAGTGCTATCATGGAAGAGACACCCTAACATTAACTGAACTCTCATGGAACTTATTGCATATTGCCCTTATAACAGAGACAATCTGTATATATAAATTAACTATTAGAGGAGTGTTTGGAGAACAAGCATCTTAAATTTCTTTGTACCCCTCACATGGGCTGCCTGCAGAAAAGTACAGTATGGTGCCTTTAACAAAGAAGAATTGTGAACTACTTAGTAAAACATTGTCCAATCAATGGATAACCATTTTTGCACATTTACTTTTTTTTTTTGGCAATTGGGGTAAAGTGACTTGCTCAGGGTCACACAGCTAGTAAGTGTCAAGTGTTTGGTCTGAGGCTGGATTTGAACGCAGGTCCTTATGACTTCAAGGCTGGTGCTCTATCCATTGTGTCACCTAGCTGCCCCAACATTTCACTTAGAAGAAGTCCTTGTGGTAGCAAAGAGCTGAAAACAAAGTATATGTCCATCGACTGAGCAATGCTTAAACAAATTGTGGTTCTTAAATGTAATGGAATAATAGTATTCTGTGAGAAAAATATCACAGACAGAGAGAAGAAACATGAGAAAGACTTACAAGAACTGCAATGCAAAGTGACGTAAACAGAGCCAATAAGCCAACATGCACAATAACTACAATAATGTAAATGAAAAGAGCAACCACCACAAAACATCCAAAATGAAATATAGCAAAATTACAAAGGACAAGGTAGGCTCCAAAGAGGACATATGAGAAGACACCTTCTTTCCTTTGCAGTTACTTGAATGTGGAACATTGCCTATGTTTATCACTTGTTTTAATGTATTGATTTTGATTTTTTTTCTTCTTTTCTCTTTAAAAATTCTTTATTATAAGGGATGGCTGCCTAGGTGGGAGGAGGGAAGGAAATACAAAAGTTAATTTATGTGATTACAAAATAGATATTAATAAAAATCTATTTGGGGCAGCTAGGTGGTACAGTAGATAGAGCACTGGCTCTGGAGTCAGGAGTTAAAATCAGGCCACAGACTAGCTGTGTGACCATGGGCAAGTCACTTAACCCTGATTGTCTCCCCACCAAAAACAAAACAAAACAAAAAACCTATTTAGAAGTGTCACACCTCTGATTCTCTGTTTCTATATTCTAAATGGACAAGGCAATTGTGAAAGGTCCTATATAGCCTCAATCTGCAGTGAAAAAGGACTGGACCTGGATTTTCCATATCATAGCCCTAGAGGGTTCAGATGAAGGGATATGACAAATTTGTCATTTCCTTCTAATAATCACTTTTAAGAAATATTTTCTGCTTCCAGGCTAAGAAGGTCAAATGAAAAGCCAATCACTTAATAACTCCCATTAAAAACTTACCTCTGCTTTCTCTGGGAGGCAGACAAGCTATCTTCTTTTCTCTTTCCCTTGCTAATCTCCTGTGTTTTCTTCATGTTTTTCTGACGGGCAAGTTCCCGCTGGTTTCCACCTACAGAAATAAACAGCACTCATACTTTTAACCCCTTCTTCATATTCTTGGTTAGGTCCATTTAAAGGACATATATGTGAATCTTTAGTCTGAACTGGCAGCAGGTGTTGCAGATACGACAGGATCAGGAGACACATGACAGCACATAGAGTACTGTACCATAAACAATATTAACATTGCCTACTATCACACCATCCCTTTCTTAAAATCATTTCAAGTTCATAGGACCATGGATTTAGGGCTGGAAGAGACCTTAGAAATCATCATCTGGTCCAATGTATCATTTCACTGAAGGTAAGTGATGCACACTACAGCCCTGTACCTGGAGTTAGGAAGCTCAGAGTTCAAATCCTGCCTCACTTACTAGTCATTTAACCTTGGCAAGTCACTTAATGGCCATCTGCCTCAGTTTCCTCAACTGTAAAATGGGGGTAATAATAGAACCCACCTCTGTGAGGATCAAATGAGATAATACAGTGCTTGGCAAACAGCAGGTGCTTAATAAATGCTTTTTCCCTTCCTCCCTTTCCTTCCTTACTTCGAAGGCTCAGAGAAATTAGGTAACTTGTTCATTATTACACAATAATAAATGGCAGAGACTAGACTCTTACTCAGGTCCTCTGACCAAACCCCAGCACTCTGTACGCAACCTGACTGCAGTGGGTAGGAGTCAAGACATACTTTCACAGATGATAAATGAATTACAAATTGTCCTATTATGAGGTCAGTGCTCCCACGAAAATGGTTATAAATTTTTACTTGTACATAGAATTTGTTAGATTTAGGCTTGCAAAAAAATCCTCCTCCTCATTCTCAAAAGAGAGAAAAAAGATCGTGGGAGACAAACAATCTTGGCTCTTTATCCTTACTCTTGGTTACATCATGGCTTTAGACATCATCCATAAACAGACCATAATATCTAATACGACCACATTTCTCTTTCCTCTTCCATCCCACCTCCACTGACTTGTCTAGACAGTAAGAATATCTTCCTCAGAAGGAGGGGTTTATTAAACGCTTACATCTAAAATGGATGGGAAACTGGGGAGAGAGCTACCCCACCACGGAGTATTTCAAAGTGCTGAAGCTGAAACCTACAGGCTGGACCACCAAGGTCAGCAAAGGGGGATGAGGACCAGGGACAACCGTAGGGAAGCACCAAGTCTCTGTGAAACTGCCGCTTTCTAAAACCGGGGCTGACAGGTGCTGCGTTCTGGGGGTGCCCCGGGCCGGCCCAGCTTTCCCTTCCTCTCCCTTCCCCAGGTGCGCAGGAGGGCAGAGTTGGGGCTGCACCCTGCCCCGAGGCCGGACGGAGCCTTTAATAAAGGTGGAGGGGCAGCTTGGGGTCGCTCGGGGTCGCCGGGAGCGGCACAAGATCCTTCTTTCCCCGGGAAGGCTCTGGAAGGCAGCCTCTTGGGCATCACAACGAACTGGGGCCGCAGCCCTGAGAAGGAGACCCCTGAGCTCCTGCAGCCGATCCGCTAACACTTACGGGCCATTGCGACCGTCGGAGTCTCGAACGGAACCAACAACGCTGAAAATCAACCGTTCACGGTAAAGTCCCACCCCCTCCTCCGCCACAGGACCTAGCAGGACGGCAACCGCCGCTGCACCGGACCTTAAATAGGCTCAGGTGCCTGCGTCGTCACCAGGCTCCACCCACAGCAACGAGAAAAACATTCGCCGCGGTTCGAAGGTAACAGCCGTTGCTAAGGCGCATGCGTTGAAGGTGAACCTTGTTAAGGGAGAATTTGTGTACTGAGCGTCCCGATCTTACTCTTGTTTTGAAAGGCCCTACGGTGCCTTCTTTTAAATCTTTTTTTATTATGAACGTAGCAATCACCAGCACACATATCAGAGTATATGAACTCCTAAGGTTGTTGCATCATAGTTTTTTCATCATAAGTATACATTACATTTAACACCGTAACAAAATTGCTGTTTATGATCCTTTCTGAACTTTTCAATTTTGTTTTTTTTTATTGCAAATAATAAATTATTTTAAGGTTCTGTTAATGCTTTTTAAAAAAAATCTGCTTCATCACCTTCCAACTCAATAGAAAACTTCCCTCGGGCTCCTCTGAGAAACAAATCAATGATATGGCCATGTCTAAAAATGCTTCTTCACTTAACAGTTTGTAAGGATGGGGTTGAAACTACCCCCATTTGGTACTGATGCCTTGATTAGGTAACGCTTTTGGACCGAAAACCATCAGAACTAAGTGGTAACCTGCCCTGTATACCAGCTTGAATCAATTAAAGTCATTGTATGCCTGTGATTAACTCTAAATAATTTGAGTAAAAGGGAATTGGGAGTAAGAAATTCTGAGCTTCTGGACTGGAGTAGTTAAAAAAAAAAAGAGAATGGAGTTGTGGCCCTGAAGAGAGATACTGAAGAAAGTCATTGTTTCTACAGGCATCTTAGAGAATGGGAAGTCTTTCCCATACTTCCTCTCTTGATACCTGTCTTAATATTCTAAATATTATCTGCTGTTTAATTACCCAAATGTTTCCACTAAAGTGAATTTTGGCCTCAAGAATCCAGGAATTAACTAGAGATTGATTACGATCAAACCAAAGAGCCCAATCTCTGCCTAGGTGTTAGGAACTTTCCTAAATGAGGGCTCAGAGCAACTGTAATTTAACTTGAAACTTTTCATCTAAGAACAACAAAAACAACCCTCCCTAAAGCCAAAGATGAAAGAACCAAGTGGACTTTAATGTGATATCTCTACCCTCAGCCTTAAAATGGGCTTATTATTATAATAAAAAGATGTTACAAATCCATCACCTCTTCGCCAAAAGGCAGAAGGAATGCTTTAGTCTTAAGTCAGGATTGGTCACTGGAATAATCAGAATTCCTGAAGTGATTTCTTCTGAGCTCCACCCAGAGAGGATGATCTGATTTAGGTAGACCTACTCCTTTAGAGGACTTGAAAAATTTACCCAAGTGAGAAGGGGCCTCCAAAGATAAACTACAAGAAAGGAGGAGAAATCATCACATAAGCGATTATCAAAAGCCTCAAATGGATTTTCCTTCCTTAGCCTAGAAATAGTTATCTTTGTGGGGATAGCTTCAATTAGGCAGCTAAGGATCTTAGCAGGGGGGTCCTTTGTTGCAACAGGAATTTGACATTTCATAAATTTAATCAAAATATTAGTGAACTCTAATAACACCATAGAGGCTGGAATTTTAAAATGAACCAAGGAGATCAGATTTAAGGTACATTATTATTTTTGGTAACAATATCACCTATAGTCTAAATAAGTTCATTTCCCATTGAGGAATTGAAATAGCCATTGAATACGTTTGAATGTCAACAGAAATATTATTCATCCTTTAGAGAAGAATAAGGGATAATCCTAAAGAGAGACAGCAGCACTTCCTGACCCACGTCCAGCACCTCTGAATGCCATTTTTGATTTCAGTATGGATGTTCTTTACATCAAGAATAGATTCTTATGATGACAGGTTTCTATTAAACCTAGATGACAAAACTAGGGGCATAATTTTAAGCAATGGTAACTTCAGAGAATTTGATTGAATCAGCATCTTGAATTTTTTAAAAAGCTGTTTAAATATACATTTGTTGGAGACATTTAATTTATGGTTCCTGATTATCTTTTGGGAAGAAGTGGATATAGATTAGAGGAATTTCTTTGTAAAGAAATTTTCCTTGGGGACTTCCCCTCATCTGCTCCATGTTCTGCCAAATGAAGGATTGTATGAAACTTTAGGGTCCCCAAATACCAAGGTACACAGCACTATTCAACAACCCACTCCCAGGATACAGGGAACTTTTTAAAGCAAATTATCTCTGCAGCAACCCAATCTCTCAATCCTACAAAATTTACAACCAAACTCAGTGATTCCACCATAGAAATTACCCAGAAGAAACCAAACACCTGAGGGGAAGTCCTCCTGAAAATGTTCACCGACTCTGAGCAAAGACTGAAAATTGGTCACATACTGGCAGCACAGCCTCCTATATGAAAGACCTATGAACATTTATACAGTGTTCATCTTGTGCAGAGTACCCACAACGTAGATAAGGCAAAATCCATGTCTCTACATGTGCACCAAGGATGTCTTGCCACTCATCTTATAGCATACTTATCCCATCATAACCCTCCCTGCACCTTTTACTGTGGAAACAATTCAAATCAGTACTAACATTGCTTATGGAAAACGGGTGTCATTTAGCAATCTTATGGTTTTTACTCCCCATGCCAGTGACTTCCCAGAAAAATATGTCCTTCCCTGGCCATCACTTCCCTATACATGTGTTGTCTCTTTTCATTAGAATATAAAACCTTTGAGGGCAATTGGCCCTCATTTTTGTATTTGTAGGCACAGCACTTAGCCCAATTCTTGGCACTTAGTAAGTGCTTAGAAAATACTTTTCATTCATTCATTCATTCCATGCTTTCAAAAAGCTTTCTAATGGGGGAGAGAGGGAAATATTGTACATAAAACAAGCAATCCAGAAGTACTTCTTGGGTAATTCAACATTTGGTTTTTAAAATATTTTTTATTGATCTTTTGTCTTTTACATCACTAAAATTTCTCACCGTATCACTCCCCTTTTCCCCTCCCAGAAAGCCATCCCATATAACAAATATTTTATTAAGAAAAAGAGAAAAAAAATCAGCAAAAAACAATCAGTACATTGAAAAAGTCTGAAAATATATGTAATGTTCCACATCCATGAACCCTGCAAAGGAGCAGAGTATCTTCTCATATTTCTTCTTTGGGGTTTCTTCTATTTGGGTTTGCAGTATAAAAGTAAAATTCCTTTTTCTGGGATTACACTTTCAACAAACATTTATTTAAACTTCCTATATGCTCGTCTTACAGATGATAACAGTCTGCCTTTACATAAAACAGTAATCAACTAATCAATCAACAAATGTTTACTCAGCACTTACTATGTGCCTGGCACTGTGCTAAGTACAGTGGATACAGAGACAAAAATGAAACAGTCCCTATCCTCGAGTTACTTACATTCTATAAGGAGACCCTATGTATATATGCTGTTGCTGAGTCATTTCAGTCACGTCCGACTCTGTGACCCCATTTGGGGTTTTCGTGGCAAAGTTATTGATGGTTTGCCATTTTCTTCTTAGCTTATTTCACAGATGAGGAAACTGAGACAAACAGGGTTAAGTGACTTGCCCAGAGTCACACAAGCTAGTAAGTGTGGCCAGATTTGAACTCAGTCTTTCTGACTCGAGCACTCTATCCACTGTACCACCTAGCTGCCCCTATTTATTGGGGAGAGTGCAGTCTGTTAAGGTCTCCTATAAAGTGGAACTTGGGCTGAATTTTGAAGGAGATTAAGGATTCTAAGAGATGGGTCTGAGGAGGAAGTGCATTCTAGGTATGGGGGGCATGTCTAGTACAAATGCACAGAGATGGGAAATGGAGAGTTGTGTCTGAGAAAAATAAGAAGGCTTTTAACCTAATTCTACTCATTTGTTTACAACAATTTGGTGAAGTAGATTTTAAAGATGAGGAAACTGGGGCTCAGAAAACCCCAGAGAAGACTTGTTCAAGGTCACAAGGCTAGTAGAATGGCAGAACTAGGGCAAAAAGATGAAGTAAGTTTCCAGTCTCAAAGAACTTAACAGCATACATTACTGTACAGATAGACAAATTTTTTGTTGTTGTTCTGTAGGTAAGGAAAACTAGTTGGAAGAAAACATTTGGCATCCACTAGGCTCTAAAAGACAGAGATGAGGACAAATGACTCTTGTCTGGGCGATGGATTACAGGAAGTCCTTATTTTAACGTTAGAAAATGTAATAAACACTACAGGTTTTAACTATTCATTAGGGGGGCTAGATGGTGCAGTGGATAGAGCACCGGCCCTGAAGTCAGGAGGACCTGAGTTCAAATCCGGCCTCAGACCAAACACTTGACACTTACTAGCTGTGTGACCCTGGGCAAGTCACTTAATTCCAACTGCCTAAACAAACAAACAAACAAAAAAACTATTCATTAAGACAGAAACTTTAAGGTCCATTCATAGATAATGACTTGAACAGTATTAAACACACTGGGGCTGGAAAATGGGGAAAGGAAGGTAAGAACCCAACTGCCACAGATTAGAAGGACCTAGGTACAGTTCTGCTTACAATATAACATTTCCTTGGTTACCAAAACCCAGAGAAGAAAGAACATCCAGGAGGAGAAGTTGGTCAACTGTGTCAAAAGTAGGGAATAGGTTGAGAAGGCTAAGGAATGAGAAAAGACTATCAGATTCGGCAATTAGGAAAAATCAAATAAAGGACTTTATAGTTTCCCTATTAAATTTCATTATCCCAGTCTGGTGAAATTTTATCAAACATTAATAAATATTTATTTATCTAAAGTGCCTTTTAGATAAGCATTCCATCTGTCTTCTTCAAGTCACTGATAAAAATGGTGAACAGAACAAGGCTAAGGACTGAGTCCTCCAACATTCTGTCTACCTTTAGATAATGGTGTCAAGATCAAATAGAGATTAATCCCTTCAGGGTACATATTGACTTAGAAAATCACAAATTTACATTATCTATGTCTTGTATTTTTAAAAAAATTTGTTAAACATCCCCCAATTACATTTTAATGGGCAGCACCTATGAAT